TGTTCAATCAAATAGCTTTAATCAGCATCTGCATTCTAATCAATGTGACGACCTATTGATATCTCACTTGTTGCATGTCTCTTTTGAACAAGCCATTGTCCTTGCCATAACCCCCTTGCATATTTTTGTGGGTTAGTGAATGATGTTGTTGCAAGCCTTTGATTTCATTTATAGGAAGAATGATTGTATTACAAGTTCCTCCTCCTTGCTCGTAGCTTGATTGATTGAACATGACAATTTTCTTTAGTCTCATCGATGAATGTTCATTTGAATACTTTGAATCACAACTTTTGATTTTTACATCATGAGTCTTCATTTGCTTGCAAATGAGTTGTAGTTGTGCTCATAGGAGTTTGTCACATTCATGTTGCTTGTGAGCAAAATAACAATCATGCTTGCTAAGGCATCAACATGAGTATTTCATCCCCTTTGCTGATTTTGATTGCATTGTCAAATTTATTGATAAACATTTATATTTTTAACATGTTCATACAGTTATCGAATTAGAGTTTGATTCTCTGCATTATTCTCTTGAATTCAAGTTCTTTCAAATTCAAGTCCAAGTATGGTTCATATCCATAAGTCCAGTTCGTGTTCAAGTCCCCTGCGTCCTTGCAAGCTTATTTGTTGATTTTGATTTTTGGCCACATTTTGATTTTATTTCACTTGGTTTTGACATTCATTAATCTTTTGAATTTTTAGTCCAGATTCAAGTCCATAGTTCACGTTCTTTTGAGTTCAAACAAGTCCGAGTACAATATGTTTTCACCCGAAATTTTGGCAGCCTCCCGGGGTCTCCCCCGTTTAGGGGAAAACTACAGAAAACTGGGCCTCCCGCCACGCTAGAGAAAAGCGTGTACGGTAGGTGCCCTCTTTCGAGGGCACCGCGACCGTGTAAAGTTTTTTTCCCCACCACACCAGAGAAAGGCGTGTATGGGTCTTCGGTACCTGTTGCAAAAGAGAAACAGTTGTTTCCCCGCGAGCGGGTACTTATAAACGAAAGCAGTTATTTCCCCGCGAGCGGGTACTTATGAATATACCGGTCTCGCCATACGAACCGCACCGGGTCCCCATCCCACCACGCTAGAGAAAAGCGTGTATAGGCGGTTTACTGATTTAACACGCACATAATTATAATTAATTAATAATTAATTATAATTAATCGAAATTAATTATAACTAATTAAATAATTATAACTATAATTAATTATTAATTATTAATTAATTTACTATTAGATAATTAATTATTATTATAATTAGGTTATTATTAAACATAATTAATAAAAATTATAACAAATAAATAATATAAATAATATTTATATATATTAAAAAAAATTTCCCTCACCCTCTCACTCTCTGGTTCGGCCGAAAAAGCGCGGGTAAGGGAGAAAGTTGCGATCACAGCAAGCGCGCTCCTGTGCTTGCTTCGATCAAAATGGTCGTGACTTCCGATCCTGCAGGAAGAGACACCGCCGAAGGAGGAGATCGAGATTTGAGGCGTCAGAGCAAGGGTTCGGCCTGGAGATCGATCGGAGAGGGGGAATCGGGCAGAGGAGGCTTCGGCTGAGTGAGGAGATCAGAGATCTCGGCTTGGAATGGAGGTATGCGAAGGAGTTCTCTCTCTCTCTCTCTCTCTCTCTCTCTCTCTCTCTCTCTCTCGGCCTGTGCGGGACGTCGGGCAGAGCTTCGGTCGGAAAGATCGGAGGGAAACAGCGATGGGAGATATGCGACAGGGAAGGAGATCGGGAGCAGAGTTGTCGTGTGAAAGAGCTCTTCCCGAAGGCTTCATCTGCTCGGTATTTAACTACCAAGAGCGGGTAGAGATCGAGAGCATGCTTCAAACAGAAATCACGGGATGCGATTGTTCGGCTCCGATTTCAGCCAGATTCGCGGCAGAATTCAAGGATCCAAAGGGTATGAGGTTTGTACGTGGGATTTTCAATTTGATTTTTCCTCTCTTTTGTTCCTTTGGGTATTATATGAAGGTCAACACAAGATAAATTCTCTACGAAGCCTATAACACTGAAACAAGTGAAGTTTCATCATATTTGTGTTTTATGACACCAAATCTACAACAAATACATAGAAAAAGACAAAAGACATTCTTTAAAATTTCAAAATAAAACTTTATGAGCAAATTCAATGACAAACATACATGCGAATAATATATTTAAATCACGTATATTCATCTCGATACAATTTCCAAATTCAATTACAATATCCCGAGAAGCATGCAACTCTCTCAAGAAATATGTCCTTGCCTCGAGAAGCATGTAATTGCTCAAGAAGCATGTAACTGCCTTAAAAAGAGTTGAACTAACTCGAGAAGTTTAGGACTATCTCAAAAAACATGTAATTTCTAAAAAATGAGGTAACATGCTAAAAGCATGCAGGTACACTATACGACTGCATTGAAGAATTATGCAAGCACACAATATAAATGTACTGAGAGACGTGCAAATACATTATGCAAATGTACTAAAAAGCATGTAGATAAACCAAAAAAATGTATAAGTTCATAGGGTAAATGCACCAGGAAACATGCACGCACTATGTGCAAATACAATAAAAAGCACACAAATACACCAAAAAAATGTAAAAAACACAACACATACATACAAGAGACATGCAAATGCATCATGTAGATGTATTGGCAATCATGCAAGTGTCATGCAAGCATATTGAAGACCACACAAAAATATTAAAAGTGTGAAGATACATTGAAGTTTGTGCAACTATACAATGCAAATGCATTGAAAGTGCGCAAGTGCAATATGGAGGAGCATCAAATACGTGTATGTGCACCATGTGGAAGCATCGAAAAGCATGTAGGCTCATTAAAAAGGGCACAACTATCTCACATGTGTACTAGAGAGTATAAAAATGCATTAAAAAGCATGCATGACATATAAAATCATTGAAATCAATTCAACTAGCATGAACTCTGGCAAATACAACAATCTCTTAAATTCGAGGTTTAAGAATATTGCACAAGTTAAAATTAAAATGAACTTAAATTTGACTCATCACAGCAAGCGTGCAAACACATCGAAAATCATGCACATGTGTAACTATATCATATAAATGCAATGAAAAACATGCAAGTACATAATGCAAATGCATTAAAAATTGTGCATGTGTATCATGCATCCGCATCAAAAATGTGCAATGGTACTAAAGTTAATATATCCACATGTGCGCCAACAAATATTTTAAATACTTGAAAATAAAATTGACAATATGCAAAAGCAATAGCAAACTTAATTTTACTCAACTCCAAAAATCATACTACTCACTCAACTCCAAAAATCATAATACATATGGAAAAGTGTGCCAATCACTTTGAAATTTTATTAAATCCTCTTTCATAAATAAGTTCATCAACATATTCATATGTTCTTGGATAGGTCACCTGCCTATAAGACAATTTTTAAGCCCAAACATGAAATTTGGTCCTTCACCACCCCAAGGCCGGAGTAGCAAGACTTTCATCTCTTGAAAAATTACCATTAATTGAAAATAAAAATTAATTGAGCAAGTTTGCAATGAAACATTCAATCACAATACTTAGAATGATAGCCTATCTTACAAATCCAAAAGCAAATGTTAATCACAAACTTGATCCTCTACAAGAAAGTTAGAAAAACTGATAAGATCAAAAGTAATAAAATGAAAGAGTTCAAAACCTCGATAATGGTTTCATTAATAGACAACCTCAACTAGTCGAGAATATGAATTTCAAAATGGCCTTAAATTCCAAGGCTAATCATTTAGTGCTTAAATTTTTATAAAACTTTAAAGAGTCTAATATTTGCAAAAATCTAAAAGTATTTCAAGTAAAATCAGTGTATTCAAACTTGAAACATTTATTGAGAGATAAATTTAAAAATAAAATTAACTTAGAAAAAGCCAAAGGCTTGTTGTGTGTATCTTTATGTTCAATCCCAAATGATATATCACTAATAAGGATATGACGTGTCTTATAATCGATAAATTTGCCACCAAGTGGCACTACTAGTAAACGGCTATGATCGGAGCCCTTTACCTAGATAGTTTTATTATAAAATGACATCATTAAATTACAGTCATAGTCAGAGCCCATAAGTTTCCTAATTGCTTGATAATCCTTGAGCAATAGGTCATGCAATGCACTTAATAAAGTACAAAGACCTCAAGTAGGTAAAATCAACTTAGATTTATCCCCTTGAACAATCATCCACCCCAGATCTATAAAGCCCTATTAAACAATCCAACCCATGATTCAATAAGCAGTGACCATCAAATGATTAGCCTTAACGAAAAGTTCTCTACCATAGGATATTTAAGCATTGATACTTGCGCATATGAAAAACTTGGACCCAGATCTTAAAGTCCTCACAAAATGAGGTTGGAATATCTACCTAGCATCTTATCTGCAAATATAATCTACCATATAAAAATTCAATCCTAAAATTATACTCTCTCAGCATAGATAGGGCACAAATTTTTGAAGCCCATAGTTGCATCCGTTTGGTATAGGCTGCTGCAATTTTAGGGATGAAAACATGTTGGATATTTCTAACAGAATTAGGATCCAAATTTGTTTAATATGGATACTGAAACTTACCATCCCATAGAATTTCCTATATAAGTAGATAAAAATACTGATGGAGGTTTCACTTCCTTCGAAGATTGATGTCCAGATTTCAGATTTTTGGTCAGTTACTTCAACATAGATATAACTGGCAAAAGTATTGGACTTATAGCTAATAGACGTGTATCCTTTTTTCATTTGATATGCTGGACAAGATTCAGATTTTGGACATCGGTGTGTTTATATGCATCGCTAGAAATAGTCATGTCAATATTAGACTTGTGCAATGTCTTTGTCTACTTCCATAGGAAAATTGGTGTAAAATCAAGTTAAATTGATAAAATAAAAATTAAAAAAATGGATAAGGCTGCCCATCTAAATTGGAAGTAAAAAACAAAATCAAATATGAGAGCACTGTAAATAATGACCTCTTGCAGAGGACCAATAAGCAGATGTGTTGGCTCACTGTACAATAATGCATGTTCACATAATTTTATAGATTTGTGGAGGTCCTTCAAGTGTGACCATTTGGGAAGCCTCAACAACCCTGAAAATTGACTTATTGCTCAGCACAAAGTACTACATAAATGGGAAAATTACAGCAAAAAGATTTATCACAGGAAAAGAAAATGAAAACTCGAATGAACTCAAGAAAGCAGTATACCATATTCATCAATGGGCGCATCATAATCATAGCTTGTGGTGATGAATGGCCCCCCAGAAGTGCGACCGAAGTTCGTCCCACCGTGATACTTTAGAGGAAAAGGAATTGCAGTGTCAATCAAGATTAATATCAAACAAATCGTTCATGATTGGTAAAGGACATACCATGTAATAATTTTGAAGGCTGCCTCCTTTCTGGAAAAAACGTGCAACAGAAAAAGCAATATCTTCTGGGGGTCTGTGAGGATTGCTTGTGCCGAAGGTTTGAAACCTGGTAAAAAAAAAAACATGTTGAAGCAATTAAAGGAAACTCATAATGAAATAAATAGCCAAAGAAGTTGGAGATTGAAACGAACTTCAATTTGAAATCAATCACTTCTCCACATTCCATGCTATTAAAAACATGGTCCTCTTGTAGATAAAAGAAACTGTAAATCTATCGTTTTGTAGAAACCTATGAATCATTAGGATAATAATCACATTCCTGTAGAAGACTACCTTGCACACTTCATTAGAAAATTGTTATTATTTTTTCTTATGAAATTGAAATGCCACAATGAATTTTCCTACTTTATTGTATGCAGTTGCTGATTTTTAAACTCTTAAGAAATTTATAGAAAAGAAAGTTCAACTCCATGAACTAAAGCTGAAACAAAAATATCCAGTTTTTCTAATCAGATCCACAAATGGATCCAACTCAACCAATGATCTCAGGTGATTTGATATAGATCTGATCCATAAAAGTACCATAACCTCATATATGAAGCAGATCAATCATCACTAAAAGTTATATCTCAACCCAAATATTATAACCATAGATGACCACAACTGTCATTAATTTTTTTAAACAAAAAAAAAAATCTTTAATTTGAAAAGAAAAAAGGTACAAAATAAAGCAAACGCAGAAAATTGCAAGATTAAAAAGATAAAAATATAATCAATGACCCTGAGGGTCCTCCTTTAAGCATCTAACTTGAAATCAAATATATTTTGGAGAGTTACAACATATTTTCTTGCAATTTATTCTCAGCTAGCATATAAAATTTATAGCATGTTGTCCACCATCTCTTTTATGCTAGAAACGCTAACATTAGAGCCAATAAACTTGTTGACCTCAACCCTATTGCAGAGGTCGTGTCATTCATTCACAATTAAAATATAAAGCGATCAAAAACACAAATCATTGAAACATTGTCCATTCACAAAACAGACAATGTTGAAGAATTTGGGGCATTTGGGGCAACTGAAATCTATGTGCTTCAAAAATTCGAGCCCCAACCTCTCTTTGCCCTTTTTTGTCAAAGGGGAGAGTATTAACAAGAATAGGTTTTGGGATAAACTTTTAGAAGGCAAATTAGATTTTAGATAAGACACTACCCAGAGATTTTGCCCACATTTTATGAGGACTTCATGATCTTGAATTTGGTTTTCCACAAGCGCAAACCCTTATGGTCAATAACGCCGCCAAATAATGAGAGTACTTTTAATTAAGGATAGTTATTAGATAGGCACTAACTATCTAGTATATAGTAAAAGCAACTTTAGAATTTAAATTTTGGAATTTTGAAATGGTTAAGATTTGAAATTTATCATCATATGCTTAAAGAGGGTGATGCGAGAATGATGATGGGCCCGATCAAGATCTTATGGTTCCGTTGTCCCGGGAGATCATGGACCCTAGTCCACTTAATCAAACGACATAGTTGACCAAACCTAACCAAAGGATTTTTATCGGCATTCATGAGTTGTTTTATCCAATAGTACCTAGTAGACTTGCGGTAGATGTTTTCGTAAGGGGGCATATTCGAGCCAACCTTAGTTAACAGAGGGCTTTATGCTTTTTCGATTATATCTTATGATTCATTACTTAAGGGCATTTGCCAATGAGGAAGATACAGGCTTTAATTATGAACGTAATATAGCAAAATCGTTAGGTCAAACCACCCAGTCAAATAGCCTAGGTTATAATCATTCACCATGTGGAGCTGTTGGGCCAAACCAATGATTATGTAGAGTTGTTGAGTAAAACCATCAATTAGAGGACCCTGACATAATCGTTTGCCATGGCCAAGCCACAGACTATGTGGAAATGTTAGGCCAAACCAATAGCTAAAAGGTATTTGTTACATCTTTACAACAACAACATCAAGCCTTTCTTTCACTACGTGGGGTCAGCTACTTGAATCTTTTTTCTCTATTATGTCATGTAAAAAATAAAATTCTCATTTAAATCTAATAAAGAAATGTCATTTCTAATATTTTCTAACCAAGTTCTTTTAGGTTTACCTTTACCTTTCTTAACATAGGTAAGATCTAATACATTTACTCTCCTAACAAGGTCATCGGAAGGCCGTCGTTTTGCATGACCAAACCATCTAACGCAACTCTCTCTAATCTTATACGTCCCTAGAGCTACTTCAACCTATTCCCGGATATGCTCATTTCATATTCTATCTCTAAGAGTAAATCCACTCATCCACCCGAGCATTATAATCTCTGCAACACTTAACTTAATATTATGCTTCTCTTTTAATGGCCAACATTCTGCTCCGTAAAGCATAGCAGGTCTCACCACCATCTTATAAAATTTTCCCTTAAGTTTGACTGGTACTTTTCTATCATACAACAAATTTGAATTCTACTAATAATATACCCATCTATTTCACCATCACTCTAAAACATAGACCCAAGATATCTAAAATGAGTACACTTATTGATGACTTGATCGCTCAAAGTCACAAACCTCCCACTAGATCTATTACTATTAAAATTACACTCCATGTATTCAGTTTTATATCTACTCAAATGAAAACCTTTAGACTTTAGACTCTAAGGTTGACCTCTATAATTCAAGTTTACATCAACTTCCTCTCTAGTCTTATCAATAAGAAAAATATCATCAACAAAAAGCATACCATTAGGGTACATCCTCTTTGCAAATGTTACTAAGAAAATCCATGACTAAAGAAAAAAGATAAGGGCTTAAGGATGATCCTTGATGTAATCCAACTGAAATAGGAAAATACTTGGTCAAACCACTTTGTATTTGAACACAAGTAACAGCTCTTGCATATATATCCCTAATGACTTGAATATAAGCATTATTACCCCTTTTCTTTTCTAAAACTCTCCAAAGCACTTCTCTTCGAACTTTATCATATGCTATCTCTAAATCAATAAATATTATATATAGATCCTCCTTATTCTCTCTATACTTCTCCATCAACCCTCTCAATAAATGAATAACTTCCATAGTAGACCTACCCGGCATAAATTCAAATTGATTTTGAGAAACAATAGTATCATGTCATAACTTATGCTCCATAACTCTCTCTCTCTCTCTCTCTCAAAGTTTTAAAGTATGACACATTAACTTAATTCCTCTATAATCGCACAATCATGTACATCGCCTTTATTCTAAAAAATAGGATCAACACACTCATTCTCCACTCATCTGGCATCTTTTTAGTCTTCAAAATAATATTAAAAAGTTTAGTAAGCCAAAAAATTCGTTCGTCTCCAAAGCATTTCCACACACCTTTATTGTAATATCATCAAGTCTAATAGTTTTTCCACACTTCATTTTTGAAACCTCTCTAACTTCAATTTTACTAATACGCCGATAAAAATATAAATCCCTATTTTCAATTAGAGTCACTAAAGTCAATCGTATTCTCACAATCTTCATTGAAAAGCTTAGCACAATATCTCATCCACCATTGTTAAATATCCTCTTCTAAAAAAGAATTTTTTTATCTTCATCCTTAATGCACATCACTTGAACTAAAACCATAC